GCAGAACAAACCTGTCAGAGGCAGAATAAGTGTGACTTCACCTCTAAGAGACTACCAATTGAGACACCTTCATATCCTAGGAAAATTAACCACTTCATCAGTAAGAAATACTAAGCATTAAGATTATATAGAACAATCCACCTTCAGAGCAAGGAATTCAACTAATACATTTTGAGTGCCAATTACTAATTCTGTATCTTTTCTCCATTAACAGCCCATTTGGAGTGGGGTGGATCTGTGGACCATTACTCCAAGAAAGGAAATGTTCAGTTCAGGCACAGACAAATGTCCCTATTCATTATGATGGCTACAGATCCATGACACTGGGATTTTCATAGCAGCATTCACTCTGAGGGAAAGATGTGGGGTGAGGATTATATACAATTATGTACAGATGCAAAAGGAAATAGCACTTACTTGATAGTTACTGGGATACTAAAATGAGGAGCACCCTTCAGATGAAGGCAACATAAGATGATACCCCGTCACAGGGACATACAGTTATACCAGACCCTCTGAGGCCCCTTGCTGGAGGCCTCCTCGCCCTGCCACACCCTGCCCCAAAAAAGGGCAGTGAAGAGGGTCCTTCAAGCTACCTAGAGTGGCTGTGTGGGATACAGCCAATCAGGACCCATCAGGCTAATATAAGAAGAGCTGCAGGGCCAGAGAGACTTCAGTCCCTTGCTGGTGAGGTAGGAATGTGGATGAGATGTGGCTGGCTGACAGAACTACAGAACCCCGGACAGGGCATCGCTGCCAGAAGCCGGGGAGAGCGAGAAGGAGCCATGAGTTGGTTGCTGGGACAACATTATTACAAGGCCCTGAGATAAGGGGGAAGACATCGCGGAGCCATGGGGAAGTGGCCCAGGGAATTAGAGAAGCCGTGCAATATAGTTAAAGGGACACAGCAGATGTCTGCTACCTACAGGGTCCCGGGGCTGGGACCCAGAGTAGTGGGCGGGCCTGGGTTCCCCCATTAGCCACTGAGGGACAGTGGCCTGGACACTGAGGCACCCCAGAGTGGGAACTGAACTATAGTGGCCCAGCTGGAGAGCTGTAGCCAGGAAGCCCAGGAGGGCGAAGACATTGTCTCCAGGGAGGGAGCCCTGGGGCATTGCTCTATCCCAGAGCAGGGCCAATCTGAGAGAGAGAGCACAAGCACATGCACTTGGCCAAGAGGGCGCTCATGAGAGGTGAGTGTACCCCGTTACAGTCCCGCCTATCGAATATGAAGACAGTATGAACCAAGTGGCTGCTTTACAGATTTCCTCATATAAGGCGTTGTATTTTTTTGTCCATGAAGCTGCCACAGCTGTGAGCTCTGACAGTGGAAGATGGAGTTATGCTTTTTGACTTGCACACTTCTCATACACAATACCTCGGCCACCTGTCAATGGTGGATTTGGAAGCCTGTTTTCCCTTTGACGTCAGATAATAAAGCACAAAGCGTCTGTCTTTCTGACAAATGCTGTGCAGTGAATATATATTTTGAAGAGCTCTGCAGACATCCAAATTATGCCATAATTTCTCTTTGGGGTGAGATGGAGCTGGACAGAAGGATGCAAGAACAATTTCATGAGCTCTATGGAGCCTGAAGTTAATCTTTAGTGTGAAGGCAGGGATGGTTCAAAGTACTTCAGCTTTATGTAAGATGCAGTACTGTGGTTCCAGGAACCAAGCGCCCAACTCAGATTCTCTGCAAACAGACATGATTGCTACCAAAACGATCACTTTAATGGTTACAAAGTAATGAGACATCTTTACAAGTGATTAAATTGGAGGGCCTGTAACAGCACTGGGAACCAGGTAATATCCCATAAGAGAACTCTAGGCACTTCAGGAGGATGTAGAAGAGATGCTGCTCTCATAAGAAAAACATTGGCTATCTGGGTAAGATGAAATCCACCACTTGCCTAATTTCTTAAGGATGCTTGACAAAGCAGCAACTTGATCTTGGAGCGTCTGTACTGCCAGGGCTAGCCAAAGTCCATCTTGAATAAACTCAAGAACTGTGGTAATGATGCAAATGTAGGGACAAGACTGGGTATGAATGGGAGAGCCTCAGCCAGGCCATTGGATGGCCTGAATTAGAAGATTTGTTTATGGAAGCTAAAACTGTGGATATTACCTCTCTGAATAACCTTTTCGGCTTAAGAGACTCTGTTCAAGAACCACGTAGCTAGGCTAGACTGTCTGGATTCTGATGCATGAGTGGCCCCATGTAATATCATATCCGTTCTGGATGGAAAGCAGATAGGAAATCTTTGAATCATGTCAAAGAGACCAGAGAACAAAGGCATCATTGGCCAGAATGGGTATATCGGAATTACCAGTGCTGCTTGTCTCCTGAATTCCTTTTGGCCATCTTTACTACAAGGCATCTGCTGCCTTGGCTTTGTGATCCCATCAGAAAAAGAAGAACCTGAAACCTTGTGATGAAGGTGGTAGGCAAACCCATCGACTGTTGGGAAACCAAAATCCTTTACCAGGAGACTGAACACCTGTGGATGCAATTACCATTCTGGATGATCCAACTTTGCCTGCTGAGCCAGTTGGCCATAACATTCAATTTTACCTTTGATGTGAAGGGAGGGAGTAGACTGCAAACTGTTCTCTGCCCAAGTTGACGACAAGGTGAATTTCTTTTTTGCAGCACTGTAGACCTTGCTCCCCTTTGTCTGTAGACAAATGACACGACTGAGGTGTTGTCTATCATGATCAGCATGAGGGAAGTCCCAGTATGGGACCAAAGCTGTGAGACCACATTGCAATGCCCTGAGTTCTTGTCAGTTTATGCTGTGCGTGCTCTCTTGTTTCAGATCCTTTGGATAGTCCTTGATTCCATGTAAGCACACCATCCCTCTAGGCGGACATCTGTGGTGATAACTGTCCTGACCCATTCTCCTATTGGAAAACCCAACTTCAATCTGCTTGGACTTGTCCACCATCTGAGTGACCTGAGAATCCTCCTGGGGAGAGAGACCTTTTCTGAGGAGTAGATGAGAGATACTTGGAAGAAGGATAAGAGGACACTCCAGTGGCCTCATGTGAGCAATAGCCCACTAAAAATATCCACATGGGAGACCACTGATCCCAGAAGAGAAAGGAGTGTAGCAATGGGTAGTCTCCATTGAAAGGTTGACTATTTTGAAAAGTTTTCTCAGCGTCTCCTGTCTTTCATGCAATAAAGTCAGTCGCCCTCAACCTTTCCAGACTACTGTACCCCTGTCAGGAGTCTGATTTGTCTTGTGCCCCCACCCCCCAAGCTTCATCTCACTTAAAGACTTCTTGCTTACAAAAATCAGGCATACAAAATATAAAAGTATCACAGCACACCATTACTGAAAAATTGCTTACGTTCCCATTTTTACCATATAATTCTAAAATAAATCAAATGAAATGTAAATACATTGAAATGTAAGTACTTAGTATATAGAGCACTATAAAGTCATTTTCTGTATGAAATTTTAGTTTGTACTGACTTTGATAGTACTTTTTGTGTAGGTAGCCTGTTACTAAAACTAGGCAAATATCTAGATGAGTGATGTACCCCCGAAAGATCTCTGTGTACTCCCAGAGATACAAGTACCCCTGGTTGAGAACCACTGCAGTAAGGAACATTGTAGAATTTTGAAGAAGATGGGGGACACACGGAGACTGAATTAACAGACTCAAATCACAAAACCGTGCTTCGCAGCAACCTTATCACTTGGGTATTGCCATCTATGACTGACTCAGGACAGAGGTCACCCAGGAGAGGGTAGACAGAGCAACTCTCAGATAGCACTACATGCATGTTTTGTAAGCTTTTGCAGTGCTGATCCTAAACCAAAGGCCAAGGACAGGTATTTGTAGTGTTGTGTACTTAGAGAAAACAGCCTATTGAATCAGGATACAGAGACAGGCAGACTTCCCAGTGACTCTCTTCCCAGGAGAAAGGCAGAGGCAGACCAAATCTGGCAGTTTCTCCGAGGTGGAGCCACATCTCCCTTGCCTGTCTAACAGGACTGGCCGGCCTCCAAGGCTGCACAGGAGCAGAACTCCCAATGTCTAGGATCTATGGACCTCATTCTGAATAAGAAAGGAGCTGATAGAAGTTGTAGTCTCTTGCTTAGCAAATCCATCACAGTACTGTCTAAATCAGGCACAGCTGATAGCACATTTATTTTTGGATTGACTGTCAATTCTAGGGCACTGTTTAATTGTTGAACAAAAAAACAAGCTACTGTCTTGGTGGTCTAAGCACAGCTGAGCGTTAGAAGGTCCTCAACTGCAAGCTAGGATCCACCAGCTACAAACGTGGCCTTGGTTAAGTCACAACCTCTTCAATTCAATTTCCTGATCCATAAAATGGGAGATAAGTGTAATCTATGTTCACAGGGGTATCTCTCTAATGTGCTTTGAGCATTTTAGCACTACATAAGTTTCAAGTATCCTCATCAATTATTGTAAGTGGTAACCTGTAGGTGAGTCATTAAACTGGAGTGACTTTTGCTTCTCATAGATGGCTATCCGGGAGAAAGTTAAAGATGGCCTCTATTTTTCAAAATAGACAGAGAAACCTTGTGTTCTCATCAGTGTTCTACTTCTCAAAAAAACCCTGACTCATTCCCTAAGATGTATGTAAGCTATGCATCTCAACTTCCATGCTTCCTCACGGCATCACTGCTCGACCATTACCAATAATTCAATGCTGTCATTACTGTAAGCTGAAACGTTCTATATGACATAAAAAAACAGCACAAATGAATACCGAATAGTGGGTTGCTAGATACTACAGATTTGTAGCTGTGGGATTTTGCCAACAGTATGCTTTATACCAGAAAATTTATTTCCATCTACCTTTTCATTTTCTTCTAGATTGAGTCTGTGCCTATGACTGGTAACATTGGGCTTGGATTTTCTAATTTATACCGGAATTGCTTGTTTTTAATTATTTTCTCATCTTTGTTAATAGTGTATTTGGTCACAAACACTAACATCAGGAGACTGGAACTAACCTGTTGGACATCCTGTTGAAAAACACAGAGCTGAAGCCGTTGGTGCAGGCGGACCTTCCGATGCTGCCAAATGTTCTCCAGTTGTCGCTGGTGGTGCAGTACTTCATGGATGACATCCAGGACATGATGCACTGCCTTGGAGTAGTTAGCAGAAGCTGTTAACGAGTCAGAGCTTCCAGGAGTCAAAGGTCGCTGAAGTTTGTCAAGTAACGACTTCCCATCTTGGCTCACCTGACCGGCAAGAAGGATGAACAATTAAGTTTCTGTTCGAAAGCTCATTAATGAACAACGTATACTACAAAATTATACAGAACAGATTAATTAAATACATGGCAGCAAGCACTCTCCACCTTTCTAATCCCAGAATGGGAACACACTGCTGTTACAACAGATAATGCAGAGAAAACTTACATATATGATGTCCACTGTATGCATTAAGTTACTGTTCTGAAACAGTAGCCTACCAATAAAGCTAATCTTCCTAGTGACTTGTCAATAAGAGTCAAAGTGATGTGAGTTAAGGACAAAGTTGGTTTTAACTGAATTCTGTTGATTTTGCATGCTTAAGTCAAAGTTTGCTATTACTTGTGACTTAACATTAGAATAAGATGTTATCAGAGCCGGAGTGCTTCTATGAAGCATAATGTTGAGAAATACACGACAAATCTTGCTACATTTTAACCCGTAGTACTGATATCAGAGTATGAGGTTAATTCTATTAGTTTTATCTTGATTCTACCCAACAATTAAAGTGCAAAATAATTTCAAAAGAACACAGCAACTTATTTGGTTTAGTCTCACTAGCTGAAGAAAAAGCAGCAATGATCAAATAAAGAGGTAATTAATTACTTTTAATTAATGTTGAATATTCATTCTTTTAGTCCTTAAGAACTTAATTTTCAAGATTAATTCCAATTAAGATGCTGTCATTTGTAGGAAGAATTTGGTGCAGTGCTCTGACAGCCCACAACTGTACTATTGTGAAAAGAACGCCTTCCAATTGTGAAGTAAGAAAAAAAGACATCTCTCGTTCAATAAGAATCAGACTTTAGAGACAGTTAAGACCTAATATCTCAAATCCAACCCAATCTAGAGATGGTACAGGGTTCTTCCCTATTGTGAGTTTTCTAATATTCCACAGCCTTGCAGAGTTTCAGAGGTTCTCTCTTTTCCCAGTAATTAAACAGGGCAGCATTTTATCTTTATTCCCACACACACGCCTTACCTATTTGAGTGGTTATGTTTAAACACAAAATATTGTAATATGGCCAAAGAAAGTACATTTGAAAATATGAATATCCTACAAAGTAAAGTAGGATAGAAAATGGACATCTATATATGCAGCAAAAATTGGTAATTCAGTAGATGACACTTTTCCTTCTTAACCAGTAACTCAATTAATGACCCAGAACAATGTTAGAGACTGGGTTTTTTCTTGCAGGTACGTCAAGAAAGTAAGGCCCGGATTTTTTTTTTTTTTTAAAGTAGAGTGTCCACAAGAAACTTTCCATAAAATTAGGATGTTAGCCCCTGTGTTCTGACCTAATTTATTATTCTGGTAACCATAGACCTATGAACTTTTTTCCTTGTAAAGTAACAAGGGAAAGTATTCTTCACATCCTGTCCCGGACTATTGTGCATAGTTACTGTGAGGTGATAAATAATTAATATGTTCCACCTTATTCATAGATTCCAGGGCCAAAAGGGACCACCGATCATCTAGTCTTACATCCTGAATAACACAGGCCAAAGAACTTCCCCAAAATAATTCATCAGGTAGATCTTTTACAAAAACATACAATCATGATTTTAAAAGTGTCAGTGAGAGAGAATCCACCAGGACCTTTGATAAATTGTTCCAGTGGCTAATTATTCTCATTGTTAAAAATTTATGCCTTCCTTATTTCCACTCTGAATTTGTCTAGCTTCAGTTTCCAGCCATTGTATCGTGTTATACCTCTCTCTGCTAGACTGAAGAACCTATTTTTAAATATTGTTCCCCCACATAGATATTTACAGACTGATCAAGTCACTCCCTTAACCTTCTTTTTATTATGCTAGACTAAAGGAGTTCAATTTATTTGTCACTAGAAGGCATGTTTTCTAATCCTTTCATCATTCTTGTAGCTTTTCTCTGAACCCTTGGAAATTTATCAACATCCTTCTTGAATTGTGGGCACCAGAACTGGACACAGCAGTGGTCACACCACCGCCAATTACAGCGGTAAAATAACTTCTTGCTTCTACTCAAGATTCCCATTTATGCATCCCAGGATCGCATTAGCTCTTTTGGCAACAAGATCACACCAGGAGCTCATGTTCAGCTGATTATCCACTACAATCCCCACTGCTTCCCAGGAAAGAGTTCCCAATCCTGTAAGTATGGCCTACATCGGGGTGGGCAAACTTTTTGGCCCCAGGGCCACATCAGGGTAACGAAACTGTATGGAGGGCCAGGTAGGGAAGGCTGTGCCTCCCCAAACAGCCTGGCTCCCGGCCCCTATCTGCCCCCTCCCACTTCCTGCCCCCGACTGACCCCCTCAAAACCCCAAACCCATCCAACCCCCCCTGCTCCTTGTCCCCTGATTATCCCCTCCCAGGATCCCCCGCCCCTAACTGCCCCCCTGGGACCCCACCCCTTTTCCAACCCTCCTCCCCCCCCGCTCCCTGTCCCCTGAGTGCCCTGACCCCTATCCACACCGCTGCCCCCTGACAGGCCCCCCAAGACTCCCACGCCTATCCAACCCCCCCTGTTCCCCATCCCCAAACCTCTGCCCCATCCAACACTCCCCGCCCCCTTACCATGCTGCTCAGAGCAGCAGGAGCTCGCAGCCCGCCACGCTGCCCGGTAGGAGCAGCATGCCAGAGCGCTGGTGCGGCATGGCGAGCTGAGGCTGCAGGGGAGGGAGGACAGCATGGGAGGGTCCAGGGGCTAGCCTCCCCGGCCGGGAACTCAAAAGCCAGTCAGGAAAGTCCCACGGGCCAGATGTGGCCCGTGGGCCGTAGTTTGCCCACCGCTGGCCTACATTCTTTGTTCCTAGAAATGTACATTTATATTTAGCCATATTAAAATGTATACTGTTTGCTTGATCCCAGTTTACAATCATTCTGAATCAGTGGTCTGGCCTCTTCATTATTTACACCTCCCTCAATTTGTACATTAACTGCAAAATTGATCAGTGATGACTTTGTTTCCTTCCAGGTCATTGATAAAAATGTTAAACAGCGTTGCACAAAGAACCAATTCCTGCGGAACCCCTCTGGAAACACCTGGTTTGATGATGATTCTCCATTTACAATCACATGTTGAGACTATCAGTTAGCCAGTTTTTAATCCACTGTATGCATGCCACGTTAATTTTATAAGATTCTAGTTTTAGCAATAGCTACATTTCAGTGATTGGGCATACAATGATCCAAATGTATAGCCAATATCTGAGTTTATGTTCATTAGACACTGTGGGATTCTTCCTACTAAAGGATACTGTAATTAGTATCTCAAATTTGCAAGGTACAATCAAGGCTTAGAAGGAAGTTTAGTTTTGAAGTTGGTTACAAAGTAGGGAAAATGTACATCTATTTGTCAACACATTATAAGTGTAATACTTAAAAAAATGGTCAATCACAAATGCTGGAATTAATATATTTCCCCCTCTTCCCATAATTCATTCATCCTAAAGTGACTGAAGTATATGCTATAATCCAGTTATTTTATTGTTTTTTTAAAAGGTAAATTAACAGATTATCATTTAGTACACTAAGGCTGTCTCTACACTACGCACCTTATAGTGGCACGGTTGTGCCGTTACAGCAGTGCCACTGAAAGGTACGCAGTGTAGCTGCTCTTTACAATAAAACCACCCCCAATCAGGGGCGGTAGCTTTGTCGGCGGGAAAGCATCTCCCGCCAACAAAGCACTGTCCACACCGGCTCTTTCTCCGGTAAAACTTTTGTCGGTCATGGGTGTGGTATTTTTCACACCCCGACCGACAAAAGTTTTACCAACAAAAGTGCAGTGTAGACATAACCTAAAACTCAAGGTTCTCACATACATATACATCACCCATTAACAACTACTGGATTGACATCTGTGTTAAAGGAAGGTAAAGCTGAACTCTTTCTGTTGAGTAACAAGCTCTTGATGGTACCATGGCATCGCCACACTGATCATGTGTGAACATTCTGCATCCAGGTATTGGTTCTGCATTCCAGGTACTGTCAGTTCTTCATCACATTGAGGCGGGAATTGCTGTTGTGATGAAGTCTCGCCTCATTTATTTCAAGGGATTCTGTAAAGGTACCTAGCTGTACTCAAGTTGAAAACATAGGATTTCAACTTCCGGTCTCAGGCAAAAATTCCACATATTTTGCCTGAGTAAAGTCTTGCCTACAAAGGATATATAGTCTAATTCATTTTTCCTACTCATCGCCATCAGGTACGATAGCACCAAAAGACTAAAATGACAGACTATTCAATTTTGCCACTGCTTTGGTTAGCAAGGAATAAGATGTTCAAGTGAAGTTTCATTTACTTGCAATGTTTCATAATTAACTCAAGAAGAAAAACTAATTTTGTTTTGCTTCAAGACTTTATTGCTCTTTACATGTATGAATATCATTTCACAATTCGCCCTGTTGCCCTATCCTACACCATAAAGTGCTTTCATTTGAGTTAGCAGGAATACTGAGTCTAGGGTTTCACTCTCTTTTTTTTCCTTTTTTTTTCTTTTTAAAACGAGGATCCACTGTATGACTGAAAGAGCTTGAAGGAATCGGGTTTTTAAACATTTCAAAGGAAGTTTCTTTTCTTGGGAGGCCAGGTGTTAAAAACTAAAGAAACTAAGTCTTAAACACACTAAAACTTCTATCAAATGCTCAGGTTTGTCGTAAGTAACAACCTCAACCATTCTCCTTTCCTCCAAGGAGTCTTTCAGCACAAAACAGGGAAATCAAGGTATGTTTTACACAAAGAAAGAGAACTTGTGAACCCCGTTCAATTCAGCCAAGTCCAAAGGGAAGTATCGGATATAAATAAAAGAATCTTGGCCCCACATTTAAAATGAGACAATCATTAATATCACATAATTAACTTGTAATTACTTTTCATCTTATGTTGCTTAATTTCTGCATTTCATTCAGACAGTAAAACTAAACCATCACCAGCATTAGGCAGAGTTTTGTAGTGTTTGAGTTCTACACTAAATGAGAATTTTTGTTCTTGAAAGTAGTATTTTTAAAAAATTCCTTTTATCATCAGTATCCTCAATTCATTCACTTTTGTAACACCTCACCCAAGCTCCTTCAAAAAAAAAAAAAAAAAAAAAAAGTTCTCCAGAAGCACATAATACACATTGACACTAAAGGAGATGGAGTGAGAAAGACTGAACAGAAAAATGGTTAATACAGGACATTTTAGTTATAAAGGGAAGCCAACTCCCATTTGAGTTCCTGCCCCTTTGGGACCCTGAAATATTTAAAGCACACCAGAAACACTTCATGATGGATGTTATTTTTTTGTGCTGTATTGGTGTTCTGTCAGCATTTTTCAAAATAAATTGTTTCCTAGAGTTGGTAACTCAGCTGTAAATACATCCTCTAGCTTAGAAGTGCAACCTTGTGGTTGTAAATCTGAAAGCCAGGATTTTATGACTTTTTGAAAACTAACAGTGATGTTGAACATGTTAAAATATTATAAATCCTGAATGTGTGTGTACACTGGCTAGTTTTAGATCCTTTTTTACTGCTGGCAGAAAAAGGTATCTGATTTTAGTTTGCCAAACGAATAATGCAATCCTTACTCCAATCCACTTTATCTTTTTGCAATAAATAGAAAGTTTTAAAAACACGTATTTAAGTGCTGACTCCTAATTCAGTGCTTTTCCAAAGGAATTTCACATTTGCTGTGCACTTAAAAACATATTTTAATGACAGTATCATAATACATGTGAACATCTTTTAACGGCATTAAGTAATACACAATGGAAAAAATTCACCACTTTATACATTGCCAGGCAGCCTGCAGGGGAAGCATTATGGTATCCCAGTTAGACAGTTTAAAGTTCTTCCCACAAGAGCAAAAGCCAGAAACCAAGTCTGAGTTTGAAAAATAGACCAGCAAAAGCCAGAATTCAAAGTTAAGACTAACACTCTGCCCTTCTGTGTAATACTTCAAGGCATAGTGCCAAACCTAGCAGATAGTTTTCTGGCTTTTGTCAGTTGGTGATGTAACCATAATTTTATTTAAACATACTGTAAATAAGTCAGCAGCCTAATGGAATAAATAAACTGCCTACCTCTGAGTAAGCCAGACTGATATGCTCATATATTCCTTGATGATGATGAATGGCATCTTCTAAATCTTGTAGTTCAGAAGGAAGTTCTACCTCACCACAGGCCTTACACCATGAATCCACGTTGTTCATGTACTAGGAATTGAAAAACCACATTGTGTCATTCCCAGATGTACATATGGTAAGACACTATCAGTAAGTAAAACTCATTACAGACATTCATACATAGGAGTGTGCAAAACTATTTGGGGTGTGGAGGACCTTTAAAAGAAGTGTTATTTGATGAAAACCATCTAATGTAAGTGAATATGTGAGTTCACAAGTCAAATAGTTTCCATAATACAACCAACAGTCTTTAAACAATCTGATTGAGTCCATGTTCTTAGTACTACAGCATGCTCTGGAGCGCTACACATGAACACAGCAACCTTCGAAGTGAACTCAACTGCTAACTACACTTCTCATTTCTGGAGCTTACTTTCACTCACACCGTTTCTTGATTTTTCAGCTAACCAAAAAAGATAAAAGCACGAGACACATGCCACATCACATACACCAAAGGCAACTAAACCTATTATGCCAGTGGTTTTCAACCTGTGATCCGTGGACTCTGTCTAAGATTTCCAAAGGGGTCTACACTGCCATTTGAAATGTTTTTAGGGTTCTGCAAATGAAAAGACAGTTACCTTTTCCGTAACTGGTGTTCTTCGAGATGTGTTGCTCATGTCCATTCCACAATAGGTGTGCGTGCTCGCTACGTGCACTGGTGCCGGAAGTTTTTCCCCTAGCAGTACCCGTAGGGGGGAGCACCCCCCACGACCCCTGGAGTGGCACCACTATGATGCGGTATAAGGGGAGTCGCGCGCTCCCCCCACCCTCAGTTCCTTCTTGCCAGACAACTCCGACAGTGGGGAAGGAAGGCGGGATGTGGAATGGACATGAGCAACACATCTCGAAGAACACCAGTTACGGAAAAAGTAACTGTCTTTTCTTCTTTGAGTGATTGCTCATGTGCATTCCACAATAGGTGATTCCAAGCTATATCTGTTGGAGGTGGGTAGGAGTTCACAGACTCTCGGGATGAAGTACAGCCCTGCCGAAATCGCACCCTTGCCCAGGCCCCTCCTGGAGCAGAACCAAGGGCACCAGCAGTTCTGTCTGGTCACGACTTGTGTTGGCTATGTATGCGCACGCTGTCATGTGACCCAGGAGTTGGAGGCACGCCCTGGCAATTATCACGGGAAACCTTGTGATCACCTGGATGAGCTCCCTCAAGGTTTCGAACCTGTCTGGCAGGAGGGAAGCTCTGGCCGATGTCACGTCGAGAATCACGCCAATGAACTCTATATGTTGTATCAGTACCAACGTGGATCTGGTGTTGTTTACCAGCAGCCCCAGCGTGGTACATGTGGACAGGAGGAGTGATGTGTGTTCCTGTACCTGTGATCTGGAGCCGCCTTTGACCAGCCAGTCTTCGAGATAGGGGAAGATCTGCACCTCACCCCCCTCCCCGACGCCTGAAGTAGGCCGCCACCACAGACATACACTTTGTGAAGACTCTGGGTGCCGTCGAGAGGCCAAATGGGAGGATGGTGAACTGATAGTGTTCCTATCCTACCGTGAAGCGGAGGAAACGCCTGTGGCCCTCAAATATGTGAACATGGAAGTACGGATCTTGGAGATTGAGGGCGGCGTTCCAGTCTCCAGGGAGGGAATGATGTAGGCCAGGGAGCCCATGCGGAACTTGAGTTTTACCATGTACTGGTTTAGGCCTCGCAGGTCCAGGATGGGCCTGAGGCCCCCTTTGGCCTTCGGGATAAGGAAATAGCGGGAGTAGTACCCTTTGTATCTGAACTCTGCAGGCAATACCTCCACCGCTCCTAGGTGAAGGAGCCGCCTCACCTCCTGCTCGAGTAGGGTCTCCTGAGAGGGGTCCCTGAAGAGGGACAGGAAGGGAGGATGGGTAGGTGGGGTAGAGAGTAACTGGAGGGTATAGCCCCGGGAAATGGTGTTGAGGACCCAACGGTCCAAGGTCAGTCGCGACCACTCCGGGAGGAAAGAACATAGACGGTTGGAGAAGGGTAGGTTAGGCGGATCCCTGGTGCAGACTGGTAAGTCATCCCCGGGCGTCCCATCAAAAATGGCGCTTACCCGCCTGCTTGGCCTTAGAGGGGCCAGGCTGGGGCGCAGGCCGAGACTGCCACTGTGGGCGTTTCTTATAGTTCCAAGATTTTTTATAAGGAGGGTCGTATCTGGAGTGGGTGGCCTGGTTGGGTGCCTCCTGAGGCTTGAACTTGGTCCTGGCTGGGGCCGGGACATAGAGACCAAGAGTCTTTAAGGTTGTGCAAGAGTCCTTGAGAACGTGTAATTTCATGTCTGTTTGCCCAGCGAACAGGGCTTTGTCATCGAAGGGGAGGTCCTGCGGGAGCTCTGTGCCTCGCTGGACAACCTGGAGAAGAGGAGCCACAACACCCTCCTCATGGACACTGTCCAAGCCTGCCTGAAGGGCTGCTCTGGTGGCAGCTGTGCCCTCCCCCACCAGGGCCTTATACTCCTTCCTATCATGCTCCTAGAGGGAGTCCATGAACTTTGGCATTGAGCCCCATAAAAGTTAAAGTCGTATCTGCCCAGCAGGATTTGGTGGTTTGCCACCCTCAATTGGAAGCTCGAGGAAGAATAAAGCTTTCTACCAAACAAGTCTAGTCTCCTTGAGTCCTTATTCTTAGGGGTGGGAGCGAGTTGGCCCTGATGCTCCTTGTGGTTGACCGCCTCGACCACTAGGGAGTTGGGGGCGGGGTGGATGTATAGATATCCGTGCTCCTTGGTGGGCACGAAATACTTCCGCTCTGCCCTCTTAGATATGGGGGGGGCAGGGAAGACGGGGTCTGCCACAGGGCATTGGAGATCTTCACCACCCCTTCGTGGAGAGGGAGGGCCACCCTGGCTGGCGCTGTGGCCAAGAGGACATCAAAGAGGTAGTCCAAAGGCTCCTCCACCTCTTCAGCCTGTAGACTGAGGCTCGAAGCCACCCTTTTCAAGACCTCTTGGTGGGCTTTTGTGTCTTCCTGGGGAACAGGAGGAGGAGGCGCTGTGATTGCCTTATCAGGGGAGGGTGAGGATGGGGGCGCGGTGCTCTGCATCCCCATCGGTGCCGCAGAACCCAGCGCTTGGTCCCCTTCTGAGCGCGGGGCTGGGGAAGAGTGCTCCACTGACCCCCCTTCCTGGAGGGCTGAGAGAGGGAGGCCAACGGTCTTTCTGAGGCCCCGGCCACCGAGCGAGCCACCACCACAGGCTGCATCAGCGTCCATGGGGTCTATTGGTACCAGGGCGCTGTCCAGGGAGCCTGGTGCCACTGCACTTGCTGTGGCATCGTCAGAGCGGGCTGCCCCGCCAGACATGCCCGGTCCGCCGACTGTCGGCTCCGAGGGGAGGCCAGGCTGGCATACGAACAGCCGCTATCCCGGGATGGAGACGAATAATGGCTTCGTGAATGGTGCCAGGCTCGAGACCCTGAGTTCGGTGTAGAGGAGCGGGAGTACTGTCTGTAACAGCTACTCTGCGAACGGTTCAGTCGGGTGGATCCGCGACGGCCGGTTGCCAGCGATCTACGCTTGGGGCTGCAGGAGCGGTGCCATGCTAAGGACCTCGACCGGGACGGAGAGTGTGAGTGGCATCGACGTCGGTATCGCAAGGGGCTATGGTGGCTTCTTGGAGTTGGCGACCTCTCGTGCTGTCTATCCCAGACCCAGCGTGGCACGCTCTGATCTCAAGGCCTGCGCTCCCTCGATGCAAAGCGGTGCCTGGATTCTCTGCTGCTCGGCACCCAGCCAATCTGGTGGGGGTCAACGGGGACTGGTGAGGGCTGTGAGTGTGGCGGTCACTTGCGGAGAACGGCATCGGGAACCTTCCCTTGACCGTGAGCAGTACCACCCGGGTGGCGACTGTGGCAGTCCGAGCGCCGGCTTGCCTCTGGACCGGGGAGACCCTGGGGTCGATGCAGCCGGAACTGACATTACATCTTGAGCCGCCTGCAGGGCCTCCGGTGTGGAGGGCACCAATATGTGGCCACTGGCATCCGGGGAGGCCGGCTCAGAGTGGGCTGGGCTACTCCACTCAACTTGAGTCGGCGGCCATGAGGTCGAAGGGATCGAGAGCTGCCCAATGTGGGTCTAGTCTCGCCCCCAGCCTTGCCCTGGTGCCTTGACAGAGAAGATCGCTTCTTCATCTTCTTAGAGTGTCCCGTGGATGGGGAGCGGTGCCGGCTGGTGGAGGGCACCGCTGGGTCACCGCGCACCGATGCCATGGTGCTCGATGCTGACTCGGAGCGGCATAGCAGTGTCGGGGTCAGGGCCGACTTCATCAATATGGCTCGGAGCCGTATGTCCCGCTCCTTCTTGATCCGAGGCTTAAATGTTCTGCAAATCTTGCAGCAGTCGCTGAGGTGGGTTTCCCCAAGACAGCGTAAACAGCTAGTGTGCGGATCACTTACGGGCATAGGCCATTTACAAGTGTCGCACAACTTAAAGCCCGGGGCATGCCCCAACCCGGGCGCACTTCTCTACTCTATCTATATAACTTTCTCTCTTTTTTTTTTTTTTAAATTTAAACTACAGGTACTAATCTACGAACTAAATGACAGTCCAAACAGGGAAAGCTACAGCAGAGAGCTGGAGCACAGCAGCTCCGAAGCACCTTCACTGGTGGCAAGAAGGAACTGAGGGTGAGGGGAGCGCGCAGCGCCCCTTATACTGCCCCATGGCGGCGCCACTCCAGGGGTCGCTAGGGGCGCTCCCCTACGGGTACTGCTAGGGGAAAAACTTCCAGCACTGCTGCACATGGCGAGCACGCACACCTATTGTGGAATGCACATGAGCAATCACTCGAAGAAGAAAAAAAGGTTGAAACCCAATGTATTATGCTATCCACTACAACAGTGAGCATAGAGGGGAGATGCAACTTAAACAAGAGGTATTCTTCTCAGTTAAGTGTGCTGCATCTGGGAAGTAGATAAGCATATATGGAAGCACTAAAATAATTAAAGACCTAAAGCTATTTGCATGTAAACAGAAAGTCCTAAATGCAAATTACAGTTTAAAGGCAACCATTTGTAGTCTCTGGCTGTTGCAAACCATTCCTTTCTCACCCGGTTTCTTCCCCACCTCAACTTTCATCCCCTATCGCTAATCAGATAGCTGATAAATCACAGCCAGTTTTCCTATGGAGAGAGTATTAGAATCCATTACAGCTAATTGTCAAATGAACACAGCAGAAGGAGCAATTAAAGAAACTAATTTAATTAATCCCAGCAGACTGCAAACCGTGTTCTTTCCTTTAATTTATTTTACTTCTCTCTCACCAATTCACATTTCTGTATACTTTGTACTGAAGCACGTAGTAACTTCCCAAAATGGCTTGGACACGGTCAGTCATAGCTTGTCAGTTAACTGCCAGGTACAAAACAACCTTTCTGTGAACTGGAATACATTCCTAATTTCAGACACTGATGCAGTTCATTTTTTAAAAAAAAAAACCCCACTCCACTTTGGTCAGGAGGCACACCAACATGTAATTATGTTTTTGCATATGGTGCTTCTCAAAGGTGTCAGACTGGCAACTGTAGCAATGCAAATCTAAGTTAGCCAGGGAACAAATACAGCACAGACACTGGGTAAAGTCCCACACTGTCCCCATCAAGTATCTCAAACTGACCTAGAATGACCACATCTATAGATGCATGAAAACAGTTTATTCTTTATGACTCGCCCTTCTGTGGCCTCACTGTTGAGACTGCCAAAAAAGGTCTCTCTTAGCAACAGCTGTACTTGTAATAAGGACACCTATTTACCATAAATGGACTAAGATCAGCTACTTGCTTCCCTAGACCAAAGCATCATCATTAGCATGCTGAAAGCACTGTAGGGTTGCCTGTCAATTAAAGGATTCACATTCTCAAACAATTTGGTTTTAAGAATCTAGCATCTCCTCTTAGTAAACATGCAAAAATTCACCTTAAAACAATTAGTAATTAGACTGCTTCTTAAATTTTTGTGGCCAAATGATCTTATTCCCAAAAGGCTACTTAAATCAGTTATGAGCAAATGGCAATTTTTCTGGAACTCAGTTTGGCATGTCGCAAGAGAAAACTGAGGAATAGCTACAGGGACTATACTTAACACACTACTTCTTACCTAGCTCAACAAGCCTAGTGCTCCCTATCAATAAAAACACCAGCAGCAGCTAACAAAACACACCAACAAGGAAACGGAATATTGACGGGAGACTCAACAGCATGCATCTGCCAACTAGGCTGCAACTAATTCCCTGAAGGGAAAAACATGCTCTAGTCATCAAGACAATTAACCTGGCAATGTGAAATATTTAGGCCTACTTCTTCCTGGGTCAGATTAATTCACATGGCTTATGACTGGTATTTTAAGTTGTATGGGGGCCTAGAGCCAGGAACAGGGATATGTAATGCCAATGGAAGTTAAGTGTACTCTTATGGGACACTGAGTAAACATCCCCCACCCAACTCCAAACCCAGATTAAATACTTTACTTCCCCTAATTTCCCAGTGAGTTAGGTTTACTACTCAATAGGTGTTTCCTGAAATGCTGCTTAAATATTGAACCATTCTGGGACTGATATTCACAAACACTATCATCATTCATTGTGTGAGGCAAAAAGCAAGGAATTACTGGCCAAATGATTGGGTAAAAAGACCTTTATATTCATACTAATTTTTTACTTTCTTCATCATCTCAAAAGCTTGCCCCAGGTTAAGCTCTACGTTCAAATCATTAAATTCCTACATCCTTTTGCTTTCTAATTTCTACACTGTATTGGTTTTCTAAGGAGCCTCGTGTATAGAACACAAGGAGCAGTGACTTAAAACCCAGGCAGTCTTGAGTCAGGGAGAACAAGCCTTTGTTTAAAAGTGATGATGAAGTTCCATACTACTGTAGAGCTGAACAGAGATCAAGTCTTCTACCTGTAGCCTCTGCTTCCTTTTAAGCCCCATCCAGAATGGAGCTAACTCGCTTTCTGGATTTGTTTTTTAACCTGGTTTCATGGCCAAATCAGGTAATTTGGTTTATACTTTTAGCTTGTTAGCTTTCGTTGGCTGTGTCCCAATTACTGACCTGTTCCGTTTTCTGGTGGAAGATGGAGGACATATCCAGTAAGGTGCTTCGTTCATCCAAGGCTGCAGCAAATGCCTTCCACTCTTGCTCCAACTGACTAGCAATCTGTTTAATCTGCTGTGAAGCATAATGGCCAGACTCAACCAAACGATTTGCTACTGACATGATGCGGTTTATGTTTACATACACATTCTGTGGAGAAAGGATGACAAAGGCAGAATGTGGTCAGGAAATACAATTAATAACCTCACAAGGATAGATCCATGAAAGATCTGTAAAAAGTGATAAGCAATGTTTACTGAATAACGTAGTTTTACATATACTAAAAGTACATATTTGGGGGTAGATCCTCCGTTGGTGTAAAGAAGTCTTGCTCGGATGACAACAATGGAGATTCTCAGCTGTTGTAAATTTGTGTTTCTGACTCATAATGAATGACAATACTGTGGTCAAAGAAACACCTAGTACTTCACAAAGACCCTAATAAAAGCAAACAGACAAGCTTTATCTTACCTCACAGAGGGCTTGTATAGTAACTCTATTTCACTAATGGAGAAATGAAGGCATTCAAATAGTTAACTATTAGGAAATTATAAGTGACTGGTAATCACTTGTTTTAAACAGCATGTTCATGTTCCCAGATCACCATGACCTAGGGACCCTCTCTCCCCCCAAAATTTCAAGTTTTTACCTCCACTCATTGAGGCATTACAGACGTTCAAGGTCACAGAAAGTTACAGCAGCAGAAGTCCTCTTCAGTATTTGGCAATAATTGAACTGTTTTTTGCACATACTTTCTGAAAAAAATTACTTCCCGACTTAACCACTGAACTCCAGCCAGAGGAGTAAAAGACTGTCTAACTTCCAAAAAATTGAAAATGATACTCTAAAGCACTGGTTTTCAACCTGTGGTCCGCAGACCCCTGGGGGTCCACTGACTATGTCTAAGATTTCCAAAGGGGTCTGCACCTCCATTTGAAATTTTTAAGGGTCCACAAATGAAAAAAGGTTGAAAACCACTGCTCTGAAGTGTTAATACCTGGGCAATCTTAGGCATCCATAGGCATCACTGCATTCATCTCACAATTACATTCTTATTCTGACCCTAAACACTCAACACCTAAACTCTGGGCAGACAAAAAGTAAGATCATGCATCTGAAGAAACCACGTATTTCAGTTTCTAGAAAATACCGGAAGCTGAAAATCTTTACCTAACCATCAAAGGATATTTGTTTTCACACAGTCACTCTTTTTTCTGGGCCAATCTGAGAAGCTACTATAAAGTTATCTGTAGCAAGTGCTCTTGGTTTACTTTTCTCCTCGCAACATTGAAAAATAATGGGACTACCTCATCAAATTTGGATGAAGATTTGGCATGTGACACAGAAGTTCCTTGGCAAAAGGTCCCCATTCTTTGCAAACAGCTCTTACCTCAGACCTGACAAACTCACTACACCAGACATCTGATCAATATTTATTCATCAAGAATAACATGCAAGTTATCTACAGAAACTTATCATAACATATCAAGATTTATAATCATTGCAAGATATACGTATGGGTAATATTTAAGGAATAATGTATTTATATTGAAAGAATGCTTATGCACTTGAAATAGAAATTAGTCACCAGGAGGTAATGTGTTTCAATGATGACCCATTCAAGCAAGAGAGAGTCTTCTTTCTCCCCTCCCCCGTCAGCTGGCAAGGTAATGCAAGGTTCTCTTGTTTACCCTTGCCACATCCCAGAACATTCAATGGAAAACTATCAGAGACAACTGCCAACGACAGAAACCACTTGGAGGTGAAAAGGAACATTATAGCAGGAGGAGATCACCCTGGCTATGAATAAAGACAAAAGATTATTTCAGTAAAACAGTGTGTAGGGAAAGACACCGTATCCATTCACTGAGGAAACCCCTTAAGGAGTGACCGTTTGGATCCGGGTTTTTGTGAAACCAGCTAGGTCTGCAATGGACTGAACTTTGGGGGAAAGCCTACTTTATTATATAGGAAATTTAACTATTAGTAAGTGTAGACCCAGGTTCACATTTTATAATTTTGTTTTGTACTGTAACCATTTGCTTTCATCACTTTCTCCCACTTCCAATTAAATCTTTGCCCTTTCTTAAATGAGCCTGCTTTTGCTTTATCATAAGTGCTTTCAAGTGCTGTGTGGTTTACAGAAGTGGAGGTTTAACATTAAACTGGTAAACTGGGGTACTTTGCATGCTAAGTATCTGGATTTTCTACAAGTAGCATGTGTTAGGGGCTGGATATCACAGGGGAACAATTCAAAAAGGACTCAGGGCTTGGACTGCACCTATTGTTAGCCTGCAAGGTGAAGTAAGGGCTGGTATAGCCCAGAGGAGAGTGCTTGAGTGGCTAAAAGGCCCATGGTGTTACTGAGCTGACACCCAGCTACCCCAAAAAGACTCCCTCTCATAAGAGGCAGGGGGTAATAAGGTGACTCTCAGTCCTAGGTGCCCCGAGAACCATTACACCTGTAGTAAAAACTACCTGAAGAAATCCCAGCAAGCACTAATACACACAGAGCAGAGTGAGGAGGAGAACTTTTTTAAAAGCACCAGGTTCTCTGTATTCTGCCCAGGTGAGTTCCACTTTCTGGCCTTCTGCGCTTTTTGAAAATCATCACAGATCAGTGTGGAAAAAAGATAGCACTCTCTAATACTCTGTGATTCGATAACTTTGCTAACTGAAATCACAATGCATCAGATCTGGAAATAAAGTACTTCCCACTAAGTTTATAACAAACCAAAATCTAACCTGGCTTTGTCTCTTCCTCTTTGAAGCAGCAGTATATATGATTGGAGAAGCACAGGATAACTATCTGTTATCTGAACAATCTTATTGAAGTAAGTTCAATTTGATTATCTGGCATGTGTGGGCTATATGATGAAAAGCCTGTTAAAAGGCCTGACAAGGGGGCTTGGCTGAGTAATGGAAAATTATGTTAAGTATCGTGAAAACTGAAAATCCCTTCCCTTTCTCCATACTGAGAAACTGAAAAGAATGAAGGAAATATTCTACTACTATATGAAGTGTATATCTAACCTATATAACCCTCCACAATAAGAAGTCAGCTAGTCTTATGGCATCAGCTGGGCTTGAAGGACTGAAATTTTTACCACCATAAATGTGAGTAATTACAGAAGCCACAGCAATGATATAGGTAACCAAATCTAAGGCTTCCAGGGTGAATGGCTCATCTGTGGGTGTCAAAGAAATATTCCTTATCACTGTGTTTACACTACTTTGTTCTCTGAAGCTTTAGCATGAAAGGTACTATAAAGTGTGCAAGTGCACACTGCCAGAACACAGATGAACAGTAGTCTCACCCAGTACTTTATTTTTTCCCCATTACAGCACCCGCCACCATTTGAGACATCTACTAAAGATTTAAATCTCAGTACCTAGAAACTGGTTCCTGTGACAGAAAGCAGCAGCAATTCAGATCAGAGAAAGAAGAATGACAAAAAGGAAGAACTGGAGGATGACAAACCCCTCAAATATTAACTGGCTACAATAGGAAGACTTAACTGAACCTTGGCTAGATAGAGGATAGATAGATAGAGAGGGACTGACAGGTGCATTCAGTGAAAGCATATGGTCAACTATCTTTATCACACCTATATGCAAAATAAAAATGCGATGCCCTTAGAGAACCAGCAGGTATTTCTTGAACTGAATCGAGTGCTGTCTTTTTCTACTGCTCCATCCAGGGATTTCTTCTTAGTTATCCCATTAGTTGATGGGTGCCATTAGCTGACCGCAAGTAAATAGGCAATAATTGTAGGCCAACGATCGTCAACAACTTTACTAAGAAATAATAATTGTTTAATCTGTCATTTTAAATGACAAATAATGCAATGAATCTGCAGCTTCTAAATGCTAATCAACTGTTTAGGAAGTGAGGGAGGAAACAGGTACAATTTCGCAGCGTTTTTCAGATTATTCCACTGCATTGCAGAAGTATAAAACTAATGAATGCTATGGAGCAGCACAAAAGAGCAGCAAAAAAGCCAGCAACAAAAAAACAAGTCAATAATGCAATAAGGGCAGCAGTTTGTATAAAAATACATCTCATTTACAATCTTCTTTACTCAGAGCGCACTTTAATAGACTGGCATTTGCTCTTTAAACTTCCAAAAACCTGAGAGAGATTCTGCAAGGTCTGGAAATACCAGAATTTTTCTCCTCCAGGCTATATAAAAAAAGTTATTGCTCAACATGGCAAAGGCCAGCAAATACAGATAAACAAGCTAAGGCACAGGCCGGCTATAACAGCATGTGTCATCCTTTGGCATGTGGCTGATTTCAGGGAAGGCAAGTATACATGGGAAATATGGGTGACAGCCTGCCAGTTTACCTCAGCTTCTCTGTAGCACTTAATAGAAACAAACTGGCAAAAGCACTAAAGGTTTCATTTTAACCCACATATTCCCAAAGCCTTTTATAAAATGCTGCTTTAGCAAACAGGTTCTGAAACAGGAACTGCTATTCTGCATATAGGGGGTGCACATTTGGTATGATATTTTTAAGGATGTCTCTTAGGCTTGGTCTACACTTACCCCCCAAGTCGAAGTAAGGTACGCAAATTCAGCTACGTGAATAACGTAGCTGAATTCGACATACCTTACTTCGAACTTACCGCGGTTCAGACGCGGTCCACACGCGGCAGGCAGGCTCCCCGTCGACTCCGCGGTACTCCTCTCGTTGAGCTGGAGTACCGCAGTCGACGGCGAGCACTTCCTGGTTCAATTTATCGCGTCTAGACCAGACGCGATAAATCGAACCCGGAACTTCAATTGCCAGCCGTCGAACTACCCGGTAAGTGTAGACCAGCCCTTAGTGTATGTCACTAGGATTATTATCACTGCATCCTTACTTCTCTTTTGTGGTAAATTACTAATTATTCATCCAAGATGGCATTCAGAAGTTCCAATCAGGGATCAATGATCCACTGTACTAGGCACTGCCCAGGCAACTGAAAAATGGGCAATGTCAACAGTTTTATTGTCACTCGTTAGTAATTACTTAAGTTACCTGCAGTATCCAACCAGTATTCCCTGTTGTGTTACGGAAAAGAAAACTGGACTCTTTAGTCTAGAAATGCTTTACAAAAATCCCTCCCTGGGAAGCTATAATACAAAAAATAATGAAGTCTACAG